AGATATAGAGATAGAGATATCTTTGAGAGATATTATATATATATGAGATAGATAGATAGTAGCAATGTATTTTATTTCTTTACCTTTTTCTAAACAGCCCCCACCACTCTGCAGTCTGCCCCCCAACCCACTACTAGCAACCATCATGATGCTCCTGCCAGCTACCGGCTCCTTTGCCAACCTAGTCTGCGTTCAGTGCCTTCTCTAACAACAGTATGCTTTGAAACAATGAGCTGCATCACACTTACATTGTAATCTTAACTTCAAAACACTAATTTATGCTGCTGAGTATCATCATATTTTGCTTTTTTAGATTCCAGAGAGTCTGAGGCCAGTTCTAAAATGTTGTACTTTGACATTTTACATAGGATTTCATTTATTTGTGAACGGGCTGAATTGTAAACCGTTTTAGCAGATTGAACTACTTAAACATGAATGCAAAATTGTCATGGACCTGGGTCATGTGACCCAGTATTCTGAGTTTCTTGGTGTTTTGTTGTTCTTTTTAGTCTAGTTTCATTTCAGTTTATCTAGTTACATTCTGCCATGTTTCATGTCCAAGTTTTCTTTGTTTGTCAAGTTCAAGTCATGTCTGGATCTCCTTATGTTTCCTGTTTTATTTTGAAAGAGTTTTGTGTTTATTATGTTTAGTTTCACGGCCCCTGTCATTATGTTAATTGTTGTCAGCTGTTTTCATGTGATTCTACTTCCTTTGCTCATTCCTTATGTGTATTTAGTCTGTGTGTTCCCCTCAGTCAGTGTCAGATAGTCTGTTAACCTCACCACAGTTTTCATAGGTTTACTCCATTTTTTCTGTGTTTTCTAGTTTACTCAGTGTTCATAGTTTGTCTTAGTTTTTCACTGAGTGTCACAGCCTTTTTGTTAACACAGTGTTCATAGCCTCCTTAGTTTCCCTAGTTCCTTGTTTTTTCTTCTGCAATCAGCCAATAAAGGCTCGCTTTGTTTTTGAAACTACATTTTGTCTCCACCGTGTCTGCATCTGGGTCTACCTCTTTCCTCACACCGGCGCACCGTGCCATGACTGGATTAGCTGTTTAAATGGTAAATGGCCTGTATTTATATAGCGCTTTACTAGTCCCTAAGGACCCCAAAGCGCTTTACATATCCAGTCATCCA